GCCGCGAGCAGGCGGCGCGGGGGCCGGAGCCAAGGGCAGGAGGTGGCCGGCCGGATTTCCTCTCCCGCCGGCTCCCGTGCGGCCTCCTGTGCGCCCTGGCGGCTCCGCGGAAGCCTGAAGTGCTCTGACGTTACAAGAACGCTTGTGGCACGCTGGGGAGTCCTGATTAGCCGGCTTCGTTGTAACTGTCGAGGCTGCTTCGCTGACCCGAAACCAGGGCATGCTCTTTGCAACGTAGTTACAGTTGGCATCGCTGTTCTCTGGCAATGCAAGTGGAAGAGTAGCGAAACTTTGCAGCGTATTCATAACGATCGTGTGCTGCTGGCCCTTCAGAGAGAACGCTTGTGGCACGCTGGGGAGTCCTGATTAGCCGGCTTCGTTGTAACTGTCGAGGCTGCTTCGCTGACCCGAAACCAGGGCATGCTCTTTGCAACGTAGTTACAGTTGGCATCGCTGTTCTCTGGCAATGCAAGTGGAAGAGTAGCGAAACTTTGCAGCGTATTCATAACGATCGTGTGCTGCTGGCCCTTCAGAGCAAAATCTGAAGGAAAACTACCCACTGAAGTTAACAGGAGCTTTATTTGCTGAAAACTTAAAGTTCTCTTAAAACTCTGTATTGACTTAAATGCCTGAGGATGGTAACTGCTTTCTCAAGTAGTGAGGAAAACCCGTGAACAGCTACTCAGGAAAACGACCTGCATGGCTAGTTGGGTTTTGCCCTCTGGCACCGGTAAGGCATTTACTTCTGTGCAGCTGTCCCGAAACTCTGTATTTTGAGCTTCTTCAGCTTAACGTGATTGAAAGTGAGAGGAATGTAATAACGTGGATTTTGTTTAAAGTCTCAAGAATACATCATCTTGAAACAACAGTATTACTGCATCTGGCTTAGAATTGTCTAGCTTTATAGCCTGAAGGTGTTAAAAAATAAAAATCAAGATTAATTATGTAAAGCAAACTTCTCATTGCTGTCCATAGACCTGAATGTTTTTTCCTCATAATCATGTCTGGGGGCAAAAAAATCTTATTCAACAGATGACTTTTGCAGTGTCCTCAAACGTTGCGGTCTCTAGAGATGTAAGAATTGTTAGAATACTTTCTACTTTCCATTAAAGAAAGCTAAACTTTCCATAGGTAAACCAAGGAGTGATCAAGAAAGAAAGCACAGGGACAGGTTTGGATTAGGGATTGAAAGTGGGAACTTCTTGAATCGTACCACATAGCAAACAATAAGACTTGAGATTCAGCTTGTAGATACTGGATATAAGAAACTTGAGGAAACTACTATGGCTTTCTTTAAGTAGAAGAACCTGGATGTCTGCACCAAACTGCAGCCTTTAGAGTTCTGGGTAGCCTGCTGCAGAGCCACAGTGATTATCCAGCGTGATCTCATAGAGAAAGTCAAGCTTGCAGGTCTCCCATCAGAGGGAAACTGCTGTAATGTGGTTTCTAGAATTGATTTCACAGGAATTCTTAGCTGCACGATAAAGTGCAGTCTTCAGTTGCAGTATATAATATATTTTAATAAAAATGCCTACTGATAAGTAGGGGAGTTGCAGGGCAAGCATTATGTTGCTATTTTCATCTTGGAATTTACCCAGGCTAAGCGTGCCTGCTTAACAGGCATGCTATTGTCATCTTGTCTTCTGAAAACAATTAGAAAAAGACTAGAAATGTTAGTTTAAAACTGATGCAGAGTGGCCGTATCTGTTCAGGAAGCTGTCAAAACATGCACATGGTGGCAAGCAAGGCTTTGAAAAAAAGGAATCTTTGCAGAATGTGAAATGCAGGCGACCTGTATGGCCCAGGTGGTAGTGCAAGGCCAGAAAAACTCTGCTTTTAAAGCTATTTGAGATGTGTTTTGTTGCTACATGGGATATAACGTGTTTAATTTATGTTTCATACAGATCTAAATCCCATTAGGACTTGAGGATAAGGCATATCTCAAGCACATGCTCAAGTTGACGACGCTGTTGACATAAGGCTGAAGTAATGTTAAATTAATATAGTCTGGTCCCCTGGGATTACTTTAGTTGAGAGAGGAGGAGGAGGTGTTAGGCTCTCAGTGCAACAAATGACTATGCTTAGAAGTCTTTGATACTGTTTCTCAGAGCCTGTAAGAAAATAGATCATGGTTTAGTGTGGGTGTAGGGGAGCCATGTTTCTTAAGTGCTCAGAGCACGTGCGCATCTTACCATTGGCTTTTGTGTGTCCTTTTGTCTCCTAGGAGTCTCAAAATGTAGGCATGCAGTACGAATTAGATAAGACAGCGTTAGGTCGCATCCAAAATTTTTGCCGGTAGTTTAAAACAACAATGCAGGATACATTAGAATGATGAAATCACGGCTACCAGCCTCTCATGAGAGGGCCAAAGGGCCAAAAGGAAGGTTTCCGTTACCTCTTTGAGAGGTAGTGGATGGAAGATTTAATTTAAAAAAAAAAAAAAAAGGCAGCTGGTTTCTGTGAGACTTGTGCATAGTTTCAATGTGATACAGTAGGCATGTTTAAAGTGGGAAGTACCAAATATTTAGGGAGGCAGCATATGTTTAGTGTTGTAAGCATGAATTATGATTCTGGTACACTTTCTTTGGTCTCTGTTGCTTCTTTCTGTAGCAGAGATGCATGTGAGATTCCTTCAGCTCTAGGGCAGTTCATTAAGATTTTTGGAAGTGCTGTAAATAGTGCTTCCCTAAAAGGCCTGATCTTGGCAAAGATATTGAGGTCATGGCCAAACCAGAGCTACGCGACTGAGAAATGCGTGCAACTCCTTGGGAAGGCTGGGGATATCTCCATTGACATAGAAAATGTTTGCTAAGTGTTAATACTATTCAGCAAAAGCCCCTACATCATCGTTAGCGGGGACACTGAGATTTCTGTTCTGATAACAGTGCACTTGAGTGATGACTGATGTACCAAGTTCCCAGCAGTTGGGACTTTTGTCTCCTAGCAATGTGAGGAATGGCTGCTGTGTGGTGCCCAAATGCAGCCGTTTGGGATTAGAGGGCATGGGGAGAGAGATGAGAAAAAGCCTACTCTGTTCCACTCTGGTCATTTTGTCATATTTTTTTCCCCTCTGAGAGCCTTTCATTTCCCTACTAGAAAGGGAGGCTTCTGTGCAGCCTTATACCATAGTGAGAAAATTACTGCCCTGGTATTTCTGAACTTTACCTGAATAAGTAGGTGTCTGCCATAATATTTCCTAAAGTGCTGCTAATAGAGGAAGAGTTAGGTTTTCACCCAGTGGGACAGTGTCTCTCTTGAATGTAAAGGCTGCATCCAGAAACCACTTGTTTTTGATGCTCTCGGAAGTTAAATGTGCTGTTATTGACCTCTGCTCAGATGTTTGCTTCATTTGTAGTTCCAGAAAGACCTTGGACCAAGCAGTAGTACTAGTCTGCTATGAAGCACGGGGAACCATGAAGACAAAACAGGCTGTATCTTTTTAGAAGTGGTGCAAGAATTGCCATTGGAGAGGATTTCTTTTGTGGTAGCATAATATAATGGGTTAAGGGGACTTCAGAGTCTCCTTTCTCCTCACTGAAGGCCTTTTGTCTGGTGTTTGTTCTGCCCATGTACCTTTTGCAGTTAAATAACTGAAACTGCATTTTGGTTTTTTTGTAATATATATACACATATATTTCAATCAGGATAAGTAGCAGGCTTTAAACTTAAGTGTCCACAAGAATAGTATGTGGAGTGCAATTAACAGCGTAACTATTTAAAGTGGTGCTAGCACTGGAAGAGGCAGGCTTGGCCGCTTCTGTCACTGCACCATCCTCTTCTTGAGCTGGCAGGAGAGTTTGTGTAGCTGAATTGCAAAGCATTTGTACCACTGATGGACATTAAAGCTAGCTGTTCTGGGTTTCATCCAGGTCCAAACTATTTCCTGATGCAGCTTGTCCTGCACATTATGTGGATGTTTAAGCTGGGAGCGGAAAAGAAACAAGCAGCGGGGCAGGGGAGAGTGGGATTTCTGTGCAGAGTGGTACTGACTTCCAAGACTTCTTGGGTTGCTCACGGACTGAGTAGCTTTAAGTGAGTCATTATGCAGGCAAGTGCGATGTCAAGAACTGAATTGATTGAACAGGTGATTCAGAATCTGCTCTGAAAGTTTAGCAGTGGTCACCTTAACGTTCACTTTTTGGAATATTTATCAATTCCCCTTTAATCAGCTTACTGGGCTGTAATGTTTAGAGTCAAATACTGAGTCCGAACATCCACTCCATTGAGCTTGAAATGGAAGCTACTCTGTCATGTACAAACATAAACATTAGCTTCTCTGTGTCCTCTTGTGCTTCGGCTTCTTGTCTGCATGTTTGCAATAAATACCAAGGAGAGTGCCCGTGCAGTTTAGAGCGTTAAACTTTAGTCCTAACTCACAAATACGCCTTTAAGGTACTCTCTGCAACGGTGTTAGCTGTTAAATTCCAGGTTTGATCTTACCTTGCACCTCTGGGAGATGCCCTAAGCACGAGAAGTGCCTATGGTTGTCTTTGTCATAGCAACAACCGTTTAAGCTAGGTAGCTGTTTGCTGTCTTGTGGAATGTAGGAGTTCAGTTATGGGCTTGGCTTAAGTTGCCAGGAGAATAAGCTGGAAGTGGTGGGGAGGACGCAACTGAGACTGGATGAGTTGTGTTTGCTTTTGCCGTCAGATCAATTATGACTCTACTTGAGCGTTGCTTTTTATCTGGCAGGTGAGTTGTCACTGTAAAATGGCAAACATCTGAAAGTTGGTCAAGAGTCTTGCATCATTTTGTGGTACTCTGGACAAACTGTTGCTTGCTTTGATTTTTGTGAAAAGCCAGAAACTTCACCTGTGCTCTGAAGGGTACCAAATATCCTGGCAGTTAAGGTCAGCGTAGATACAAGGTTGTAGCAAAGGTTCAGAATAGTAGTTTTTCAGATCTAAGTAGCTGTGCCAGCTTCAGCTGGGCACTTCTTCATAGCCTAATTGTTGAGCTGAATGTCTATTTCTTAATGGCATCTATGTCCAAAAAAGTGGGCTTTTTAGTGGTTGTACTTTGGAGATTTAACTCTCTGGATGACTAACTTCAAAACAGGTAATTAGATCTGCCTATATGGCTGTTGGAAAAGGTGAGGGCAAAATGTCAGTTACCTGTAGTAGCCTGTCATGATTAATGGTCATAATTTTAACTTGCCCTAATGCTTTTGATTCAGCTTCATAATTTCTGATAGCTTCTTCAAGGAACGCTAACACAAACTTGCAAATATAGTGCATCTCTTTATCCCTTATCTCTTTCAGCCTTAAGCACCTTTTAAAGACTGTTAATCATAAGCTTGTAGTACAGCTTTTTATACAAAGACTCCTTCCTGTTCTTAGGTTATCTAAATGCAATAAAGATCAAACTGTTCCTGAAAAACAACGTGAGAAACGTAAGGAAAGCTAACTTGATGTTTACTGGCAGCACGGAACAGTGAGATTTTGGTGTTCAGTGTCCTTAAATTCTCTCGGTATTGATGAGAAGTATGGATCTTAATTTGAGTTTCTCTTAAATGGTCTGTTTACAGGCAGCCTGCCTCTGCAAAGTGGTACGACCGAAGGGACTATGTCTTTATTGAATTTTGCGTTGAAGACAGTAAAGATGTTAATGTAAATTTTGAAAAATCCAAACTTACGTTCAGGTAAGTAACTCAGGTATTTGTGAAGTTCAAGGACACAGGTATATCTAAAAGCTGCACTGAAACTGATTGGGTGCAATTTCTTAAAGTAGAAAGTTCTGTTGTTGAAGCATATTTGTACTATAAGATGTTTCCAACTAAAACATGAGTATAACTTTTTTCTCTTAACAGTTGTCTTGGAGGAAGTGATAACTTTAAACATTTAAATGAAATTGACCTTTTTAATAATATTGATCCAAATGTAAGTATCCTCTGAACTTTTCTCTTATTTCTTGTGTACTTAATACCAGTTCATACTGGACTGAGACTGCTCTGCTGTTCTCTGATAATCAACGCTATCCAAATCTCTTGAGGCAAATTGTTTATACTGCAGAGAAAAGATTCTTCTGTAGTTGTTGCTGCTTGAAGGGTAGCATCTTTAAGGTTTCCATTTTTGATTATCCTTCCTGTTTTCTGTTATCTCATTATCCTCACACATGCAGAGAGTAAGGAGTGTTATAACAACATTCCTGTCTGAGTTTTGTTCAGGCCATCCCAAGCAGAATCAGTATGCCTTTACCTTCTCCAGTTTCTGTGAATTTGTCGTGCAGAATTGTTCCAATTAAAAGTATACAGGTGACTTCGGGATTGGTAAAGATCTGTTCGTAATGGGGAATTATTCTGACAAGTTCTAGATCATTGTACAGCCTTCCGAAGATGCTTTTATGGATCTAAGTGAGTTTGTCAAGCCTGCTCTTAGGGTCAAAGGAGCGCGTGCCCATAGTACTGGGGAAATAGCTTAAAGTATGGATGATATTTTTGAGGACAAGGAATAAGTGATATATTAGACTCAATTGCCTTAAGCCAAGCAGTTTCTGATGTTCATGATTGTCTGTTACACCAACAGGTATTTGCTCTCTTTTCTTTTTCAGGAGTCAAAGCATAAAAGAACAGACAGATCTATCTTGTGTTGTTTACGAAAAGGAGAATCTGGTCAGGCATGGCCGAGGTTAACAAAAGAGAGGGCAAAGGTGGGTTTGGGTCCCTCTATGGCCAGTGTAGTAGTGCCTGTTGCCTCCCGGCCTTTATTGTGTCATGTTTAAATTATGTAGCAGTTAATGGGTAACTTGCCTTGCTTCTGATCAAAATGACAGTTTTTTAGTAACCTTCCTCTACTTAGTAGTATCTGCTTATTCTGTGCTTGTCACTTAAAAAATAAACTTTTGTGTTGACGTGCAGCTCAACTGGCTCAGTGTGGATTTCAACAACTGGAAAGACTGGGAAGATGATTCAGATGAAGATATGTCCAATTTTGATCGTTTTTCTGAGGTATAGGACTTGGAGGTTTGAGTTTCCTTTTGGGCTGGGTCTGTTGGCAAGCAGTGACTGGCAGCTCTAGGAAGAGTTTCTGGTTTGGGGTTTTTTGTCTTCACAAGCAAATGCCCATAAGATGGGAAATAGCACCCCTTTGCTCTAGAGCAGGCATCCAACTGCTCCAGCCCATGCCGTGTGGGGAGTTGGCACTGTAGTGAGATTACCAGTTTGTGCTTGTGATCAAACATAAAATGAATGCATGTTTCATTGTGGAAGTCAGAGCTAACTCAATGAGCTGGTCTTTGCTTTGCTAAGAAGTTAATTTGAAATCTTTTTGCATGCTTGCTTTGTAATCCCTGCATAGGTGTAGCAAGGCTTTCAGAAACCACTGGTGGTTATAACAAAGTTGTTGGCTATTTTTAGATTTTAATGTTTCATTGGCTCACGTAGAGAATGGATATACCGTCAATGGTTTCCTCTTTGTAACGTGTCTATTATCTTTCTGGGACAGATGATGAACAACATGGGCGGAGATGAAGATGTAGACTTGCCAGAAGTAGATGGGGCAGATGATGTAAGTCCTTACTTTGTTTGCAGTGAGTATGTTCAGGGCTGGTTAAGCTACTTGCTGAAGTCAAATTCGCATTCCCACTTCAACGCTGCTAAAAAGCTTAAAATAGCACTGAACCTTCTGTCTGGACAAATGATGTAATCTTGCAAAAGTCATTGTTCTTCCCTCCAGCAGTGGTGCTGAGGGCAGTTGAATTAATGCTTGCAAGGTGTTTTTGACAGGTTGGTGTTATATACCTTTCTGCAGTGATTCTTTGTTATTACTGGTCTGTAGTTTTTTTTTTTTTTTTAAACCAGTAAGGCCTAACTAAAGCATATCCTGAAGAACTTGTAGCTCCTCAAAATGCTACCTCTGACGGAAAAGGCAACTTGTTTGTTGGGTTAGTGGTAGAAGAGCAAAAGCGCCTTCAAGCTCAGTCTGCTCCAGTTACCATTTCTTGTTCTTCTTTCTAGGACTCACCAGACAGTGATGATGAAAGTAAGTTGGTATTTTTTAGTGCTACACACTTGGGTAGCAATCTGAGTATTTGTTGAATGCTTCTAGTTGAATGAAGGTCTTAAAGAGCCAGCAGATGTACTGTCTTGGCAGTCTGACTAGATTCCAATTGAGCGCTCTACACAAGCTAATGCGGGTACCTCGCTTCAGCAGTGCGAGACAACATAATCTAGTGAAAGCCTTTCTACGCAAGCTTAAAATACCATTTTTGACCTTCCCAGGCTGCTGTAGTCCTGATTAGGCTCTGACTTCAACAGCTGTGGTCACTTACATGGAGCAGTGTGTTCAACACAGGCCCCATTTGAAAACTTCTTGCATTTCAAGCAGTGACTGTATAAAGATCTTTATTGCCAAGAGCCAGTTTTGTGCTCCAAAGTGCAAACAGTGGCAAGGCTAAAGACATTTTAAAATATCCTGTTCACTTTTTAGTCGAGGACCGTATCTTCTGGCTTGTGTTGCTTATGATATGATAGGGCTCTTGGTAGCTAACAACAAAAAATAAACTAACGTTCTTTATTTTTCCTCTCTAGAAATGCCAGATCTGGAGTAAGGAAAACTGTCGTCTTCAGGGTTTGGGGAAAGAACTTCATCACAACATTTCATAATTGAGATAAGAATTCCTGAGTTGATAGCCCTAAAGGGAGATATTGCATCCTTTAACCTATTTTCAGTCCATTTTAAATGGCTTCACTGATGGTTGGTGTGTACCATTGTACGGGGCAGTCTTAAGCCACAAGAGGCAATAATGTTATGCATGAACCGTTTTCCAGACTTCCAAAAACCAATTGAGGTGTAGGTAATCGATACAGAACAGTTGCAATAAAAAGTTTACAGAGCCTCCTTGCCTCGTAGCAGATGTAATTACAATGGGAGAATTCTGAATTTACGTAAGTGGTAAATTAGCGTTTTCCCCTCTGTGTGGCCTGCAGGTAAATCTGAAAATTCAAGTTTATACCTCAGACAAAACTGGCTGAAACAATGGTGTTTTAATTGGCTTACAAAATTTAACAGGTAACATGCAATACCTCTGCAGTGTCTTCAGGTGTGTTCCACTAATGTTCTATTAAAAAGGAAACAAATTTCACTTCACTTTGTATTTAATCACTAGTTAGTGTTCCAGATGTATTCCTAGCTAAAACTAGTGAACCCCTAACTTAAATGGGTGAAGCCTGTACATTCGGTATTGTTTGACCCTAAAGCTTTACATCTCTTAGTCCGGGGGTGAGAGTGGCTGTACATTGTTGCTTGTCAATCTGTACATTTAGACCAAATTGTATTTGCACTGTTGGTATGGAAACGAGTGACAAAACGTTATACACTATTGGAATTTTTTGTTAGTTTATTTGACCAGCTTATAACAAGGCTGAAAAACCTCAATTTATGTTCAAAGCAGTGGGGATTTTTTTAATGTCTACATTCTTTCTAATAAACTGTTGAAGACTCCATGGCTGTCCTTTTAACTGTCTGATTGTAAGTTCATGTATTCTTATTTGCTGGAATGGATTTGTTTTTTTTTTTTTTTAATTTGGAATACAAGCGTGGGATTACTTCATCTGTTTGAAGGAGGCGAGTTGTAATGTTCCCAGCAAACCTTCAGAAGTGGATCTGTAATTTTAAATTGTAGGTACACTTTGGCAACAGTTTGGAAAAAGTGTTGTGATTTGACTCCAATAAAACGATGTTTTGTCCTCCTCTACATCTTTGGGCTTCTGCATCCGGGCGTTTGCTCTGAAGGGCTCCTGGACGTGTTCTGCTTCCCCGGGAGCAGGGGGCTGGGGGGAGGAGAAGGCCGGCCCAGGCGCACCCCTCCCGGGCCGGGGCCCCGGACCCG